CCCCCTCTCGATCCCCCTCGCCCATTTCCTGACTCATCTTAAACTTCCCCTGCAACCGCTCAACCCGAATCTCAATGCCAATGATGTTCTTCTTCAAAAGCTCTACATAATTTACCGGCGCATCGGAGACATTCCACGCGCTCTTTTTATCACCTCCAGTATACCCCATAATGCCCTCCTCAGACTGCCGCGACAGATCTTGAATCTGTTTCTGCAAAAATGCACCCGTTTCCTCTGCTTTGGAATTGCAGTATACACTGATCTTGCCGTACGCCTGCACGGCGGAGTAGTTCCACGTCGGGACAACTTTGCCGGAGACTGGTTTGGTTTCTATGTAGAATTTGGGTGTCACGTAGTGGTGGTGTGGGCCGTTGAAGAGGACCAACACTTCGTCCGTGAGTTCGAGTTTGTTATTGCCTGCTGCGTTTTGCTCGGCGAGGGCTTCCATCAGGGCTTTTGCTTGTGGGTTTTGCTTCGCCATGTGGCCGCGCAGGATGCCGGCCGGGATTGTGTCATCGTTCTCGGTTGAGGGAGGTACATCGAGGACGAAAGGGATGTGGCTTGATTGGATAAATGTGTAGATCGGGGATTTGATCGCCGTTGTTAGGATGCCCAGTGGGTTGTCGCGGATGAATTGCTGGAGAACGGGGAGTTGTCCTTCGGCGTGGACGCCGCGGAGATACATTGTAGCTGTGACTTTCCAAGGAGAAAGGACCTAGAGGCAAGTATGTTCAATGATCCTATTTAAAGTACGTAGAAAAAAGAAAAGAAGACATTATAAGTATGTGGGAAGGAGTTCATCAATATCAGTCATAGCATAGGGCGTGATTTAGATCGTATCTTACTGACTCCTCCGCCTGAAGGGTTGTCATCCTGTCTCCGTGTTGTGTGATTGGTAGTCGGCACCGAATTATCATCCTTGGACCCCACTTTTATCTGATAAACCCGGGAAATCACAACTTAAGGTTCTAACTCAAAAAAATTGCCTATTCTGTCAGTTGTGAATATAATTTCATCTATACTCCCAACATTGAGACACATTCTATTTGCAACTGAATTCATAATCACACACAGTAAACTGCTCAATTTACGGCACGGGTCAAAAGCCTCGGCCAGTCGTGACTCAAGCGATATGCCGCCATATTTGCCAAAGATCGGAATGTGGTGTTGGGGTTCGACAGGCAATCCGAACTCCTTGGGCAACTAGATTTGTAGCTCCACCCCGTTCATATAGTCTGCTCCATGCTGCATGATGGACACGCCGTCAATATGGAACTTGTCGGGCTGTATTCCTAGAATCCGTGCGGTCCTGGATTTGCCTGCAAAAGACGCAGATGTGATAGACGACTGAACCCCCGCATGAGCCCCATGTGCTCTTCTGGCTGCTCTATCACTTCCTTGTCGTCGGCAAGACTGTGTAATGCCGCTCGCAGCGAGTGAAAGCGAGCGTCTTGAACCACTTAAGCATCCGACATGTCTGTAGCAAATGATTCCGTGGCCGACATGATAGCCAGTGGCATGATTGCCAGGGATGGGATGTATCTTCATATATCGGAAATTGGATGGTGACCTGGCAGGTCTTAGCGGGTTTCAGGCAGACAACTAATTTACTATCAATTATGACCGTTGTGGCGTAACACCAAGGACCATCCCTAAATTGCCTGAACCCTTTTTTTCCCAGTCTTGAGTTCCCTCAGATATTTCGTAGTCATCCGTCTTTAAGCCAAAAGATGAAAGCCCCGAAGGAGAAATTCGTAGCGACTCTGACTAAGACATTTAATATTATCATGAGTAGGGATGACCGAATCAAGGTACTATACAAAAACAGGAAGAATGACGCCAACCAATAATCGAAAATGCACCAGACACACCGAATGATATTTTGGGGGAAAAAACCGCTAAAACAACAGAGCTCACCTGGGCAGAGGATAAAGATCACGTAATACGCGACACAATCTCATCCTTCCCTAACCGCTCCAAGACACCCTTCTTCAATCCGAGGAACCGTTCAATATCACCATGACGCATACCCTGCTTATCCCGCATAGTCAAGACCTGTTGGATAGTCAGGGCATCCAGGAACGATCTGCCGGGGTGACCCGCATGACCGAAGTGTTCGGCTTCTTTTTCCGCGGCCTCCATGAGGCGTTGTCTAGCAGTGACAACCAACAGTGCCGGGTTGGAAGCATGCGGAAAGACAGTTTGCATTGAGCCGGGGCGGTTAAAGGTGCTTGAGTTTGAGAACGTAGGTGATGGGTTGACGGGGCCTATTGATCGGAGGGAAGCGGCGAAGTCGGGGTCCCGACCATCCATGTCGATGGCTGGAAAGTCATTAGTAGATGTTTCCTTCCAGGTCTTGCATGTGTTGCATGGAAGGGAACTTAAAAGAATCGCTGGCGAGTGTACGTACCATCAGACTTCACGCTGGATGCTTGCTCCTTTGAGTGGTATGTTGGACCTTGAGAGGGAGGTGTAGGTGCGCGAGGAGCCGAGGGACTAGCCTGGGGCTTGGGCTTGGGTGTGGGAGCAGGCGAAGGTGTAGACGCTGCTTTGGTTTCTTTCGGAGCTTTGCGCGGGCCCCTCGGCGGAGGAGCTGGCTGCTTGGGGTACTGGCGCCGTGAGGCTGTGCCAGCCGCCGACTTAACGGGCTTTGATGCAGCAGAACCCATTGAGAATGATGAGCTGTGGAATTCGGAAGTGTTGAAGGCGTTTTTTGCGGAGCTTTGAGCGGAGGTCCCGAAGTCGCCTTGGCATTCGATCTGGATGTTCGGGTCTTTTGCCAGCAGAACAGTCGAGACTTTTTGGCACCGGTGTATGCGACTCACACGTAAAATTATTTTGCAAGGTGTCAGAATACCTAAAGATGATAGAAATTCTAAAGGATACTGAACAAGCACTCTATACGTACAGTGTGAGTTGAAATAAAAGCCTGATCTCTGAGGCAGGAGTGTATATGTATATCATCCTGGGTAGGCGGTAAATAAAGCGGTAAGCAATCTAGTCCCGCAAAATCTGCCCTACGTTGTGACGTCAAAAATACATAGTCAACAAACAGCTCCCTTGGGAGTATAAATTATCTAGCGATGTATAGCAACACGTACTCGTCCAATATATATAAAATATGAAGCTGAAGCTGAATGGTAAAATGAAGTTGATAGGATGTATATGTTGGCTCGGCTGCGTATCTGGGGAGCTCCAACCCAAGCTGTGTTACAGACAATATGTAGGATGATCACGTTTGAAGATGATTGAAACTTTCGTGAAATTTCAGTGGAAAACCTGCTATTTTGTAAAGACATACTGGATACGACCACAGTTAAGATATAATACTACTGGAACCTAAGACCACACGGCAGTTTGGGACCGCTATGAGAGTACAACCAGGATCACGGCAGATAAATTTATGCATGTTCCGGAAGTTTACCGGAGACCAGCAAGTCGCCGGCCCTGCACTTCACCCAACGCACGGCTACCACTGACGAATGCGATCGCACCAACAACAGCCATCGCGGGGAGGATCTGGAACAAGTTCCATGATGTGTAGTAGAGGAAGAAGATCCCCTCAAATGCGATCAAAGATCCGAGGAAGATGGCATGCGAGAGAGGGGCAGACTTCATTGCGGTGGGTAGGTGGTTGATGTTGGCGCCGAGGAAGAGCCACTAGAGACAATCTGTAAGCAATGTCGTTTGCACAGCAATGAGAACAACTTACCAAGCCAGCAAGAGCAGGAATAGCAGCGCCGACCATGGCGACAAATGTCAGGGTTATGACAATTGGTGGGCTAGACGCAGAATCCTTGAAGATATGGTGGATCTCGGGCTTCTTGCCGTATCGCTCAGTCTCAACGGTCGGCACGGCCGCTTCGGGGTTATGATCAATCGACAACTTGAACACAGAGCTGTCGTAGGCAACGGAGCTTCCGAATCCACCAATGACAATATGCGCATCAACCGGACCGGACAGGGAAAGGAATTGAATCGGCAGGTCCTTTTGGGTCTGGAGAGCATTTGTTAGCTGCGCCGCGGAAAGTCGTTTGCGGGGGGGGGGGGGGGGGGTTGCATACCAATTCGACTCTTGACTTGCCATTGTCCTTGACACTGAAAGGGTAAGAGATATCTAATCCAGTCTGAGCATCCTTGAGCAAAAGGAAAGCCTGGTCTGGCCGCTTTGCAGAGCTGTCTTCCTGGGCTGTCAAGGTGACGCGTAGGGTATCGGCACCGAAAAGGGAGATGGGCTTGGAGAGCGGCTTAGATGCAGTGAATCTATTTTGAACATGTTGATTAGTTCCACGTACCTTGTATTTGAGTCAATATACATACTGTTCCTTGAAACCTCCATTGACACCAGCACCTTTTGCTTGAACGGCCACGGTGGCATCAGTAAAGCCCCAAGCTGTGGCAGCAGCGCCAGGCAAGGCAGCTGCAGCCAACAGGCAGAATGGAGCGGTGGCCTGCCACAGATGCATTGTGAAAAGAATAACTAAAAGAAAACAGAAATAACAGAAAACAGCTGTAGAGAGCTCGGGGAGATGATGGAGGATGGAGGAGTTGCAGAATAAGGCGGACAAGTGAAGCCGATAAGCGCCGATCAATCGTAGCCCTAATTTCTTTTCTGCTTGACCTCAACATCTTCCATCACTTTATTTCGCCTCATCTACCACAAATACAATTCCAACGTCCGCCTAGTCCTTACCAGCTTGTTTATGAACCCTTTAGAAAATAACTACGGATGGTTGTACCTTTGATCCCGTGAGTACTGCGCCTATAAGTCGGGCCCTAATTCCCAACTTCTCCCCTTCCGCGCACCGCGGTCTTCTGACGTCGACCCTGCACTTCACCTGATGACCCCATATATTCTTATTCCCACACCCTAGTCGCCTGTTATTGGAGGTATTATCTAGTCTTCCATTGTACAGCTCGTTTGATCTATTTACCGCCTGCTGTATTTGCATGGATAGATTATAACTGACAACTTCCGGGCCATTTAGCTTTAAGTCACGATGCCTCCCAAGAAGGGCCAACGTAAGTCGATGCCGGCGCGCATCAATAAAGCGCCTACATTGACACCTTCACGGCGCTCCCCTCGAGTACCTCTCCCATCAAAAAGTACGAATGAGAACGTGCAACCCGCCAAAACGTTGGACCTTACATCCACCTCACCCCAAGACACTTCTATCAACCTTCGTTTTTACACTCCGAACACACCTGTTCCAAGTAATCCGTCTGTTCCAAGTCCTAGTCCACGTGGGAAATCTCCTGAAACACCTTCCTCACGTCGAAGGACCTTTCAGTCTCGTCCGTCACGTCTGTCAAACGTTTACACGCCAACCCTAGAACCCCCGCCCACCAACCCGGGTAGTCGACGAACGAGAAGAACAGCTGCACTTGAAACACCCAAGAAAGAAGCCTCGGACATTGATTTCCCAGAAAGCACTGGTAGCGCTAGCTGGACGGTTGACCACTACATGGGCAGCGTTGAATCCGAAGGAACAGCTGACGGTCCCTCGAGCCCTAACAGTGCCTCCGACATGCGGAACTCATCCCGGGTTCGTAAGCCTACTATGAGGGCCCTTGAATCTTTTGAATCAACTAAGAGGAAACCTCGCCGCAAGAACACGACAGTGTCTACCACCCCGACCGTGGAAACTTCTGCCTCTGCTCCCTCTGCTGTCTCCGTGCCTACCAAGGTTGTGAAAAACAATGTTTCGAAGCAACCAATGAGAAAAACCAGAAAGTCAAAGAGAATGTCCAACTTGAATATGCGGAAGAATGCTGTCTTGATCGGTTGTGATATTGACGTGAAAGTCGCTGGCAAGATACTATATGACTTGACTATTCAGTCTCTAAGCCCTGACTTTACTCTTCCTTACAATTTCCCTGCGTTCTTGGAGCAGCAGCGAAGTGAGTACTTCCGACGCCAAGAGGAAGAAAAATATGGCGTCGACGTGCCCACCATCAAGGCGACCTCGCCAAGTGATGTCGATCTCGACGTCGAAATGATAGGCCAAGAAATCCCACCGCGTGCAATTGCTCCTTCTACCACCCCTCCTACTCCTCCCGCTGGAGTTACCAACGGTGAAGTCTCCCACGATGCAGTCTCCCACGATGCAGTCTCCCACGACGCAGTCACCAGCGGCTCAAGCATTCTGGGCTATAAAAAGCGGTCTGACAGCAAGGTCGACAGCGATGGCTGGGTTCAAACTGGCTATGTCAACTCCAGTGGTGAAGAAGTTGCTCTGATCCCTGAGAAAAGCCACCCCTATTATCCACCTCATACTTACGGCTACGAGGGTCTTCCTTTCCCCCCAGTGCGCGCCAGAACCAGCCAGCAAGCCGAGGCCGATGCCGCCCACAGCTTCGCTCCACTCATGGGAGACCGGAATCTCCCATTTGATGCGACAGCCCCGTTCGTCACTGAAAATGTGGAGGAGGAAAAGGCCAGGGCTCTTGCTCGAACCCCTGTGGCAGCCCCTGCGACCAAGAAGCCACGCGCCCGAAAGCGCCGTCAGACCGCGGCCGCAGATGCCACCGATAAGCCCGCCTCACCCGTCCCCACCGCTACTTCCGAGACTGGCGGACGCAAGTCACAGCGTCGCCGTCGCCAGACTGCCCCTGCTCCCATTGTTCCCTCTTCCACTTCTCCCACCTCTCCTACTTCTCCCCCGACCACTGCGACAAAGGTCCAGTCTTCGGGCCCGGCTGCCGCCGTCGCCCCCGCTGCCACCGAACGCGATAAACCTAAGGTGCAGCGGCTGCGGCTGACCTTGAAGCCAGCGCCCAAGACTGAGGCCTCTGGGGTTAAAGCATCTGGTTCCAACCCCGCCGTGCAGTCCCCTTCCTCTCCCGCTCTCTCCCGTGCTCCGTCCTCCGCACAAACCAGCAAGCGCCGCCGCCGCCGGGCCATGTGAGGCCCTGGTGAGCGTAAAATTATGTTTCCCGCCCGTCTAAAGCCGGGCAAAAATTCTCAATATTCAGTACTTTTGTTTGTTTCTTTCCTTTCTTTCTTCTTGTATGATTACCAGCGGGCGTTTCAAGCATGTATTATTAGCACCGTGGGAGCATACCATGGAGTTTACCATGGTGAATTGTGAGTTTCTTCAGTTGTCTTTGTTGTTTTCCATTAGTATTGCTTCATTCTGTAATTTTGGGAAGCCCACAAAACTCTGATACCTCACGCAGATAATCCAGGCTTGTTCTTCTTAAACCAAGAAGCTTACACTTCTATATGTCAACCAACAGCATTGAGTACCTATATGTAATGGGTGGAACATGATAATTGAGCAAGCTCAATGGAACTATACCGTTGTTCGTAGATAATCCGAGCTTAACGGGATTGGGTAGAGACGTATACTTTGCAGGACAACATAGAATAAAATATTTTGTATATTGTTTTTGGTGCTTGCAAGACAGGTTTTTTCACTCAAATACCATGTAACTTACATTATCCATCCACCGCGTTATCAGTGGTTAAAGAAGAGTCTATTTTACAAGTTACTCTTCCTAATGTAGAGTTATAGTAATGCCTCAGGCGCCAACACCTCCCGGAATCTTCTCTCACAAGAATTCACATCGTCCAATCCATCAACCAAAACATGTAAGGATGCCCCAACAATTTCCTCTAGGCTCGAGTCTATCTAACAAAAGTCAAAGAATAATGGCATCTATCAAAGACCAGAACAGATACCGATCTGTGGATCCCAAAACCCGGCCTCCACGCCCAGTCCAACAACCCGCTCCTTCGCGGCTCCCTAAAGGGGTGGATGATATCCGGAAGACGAAGGAGTACAAGGCTGCTGCACGGAGGTATGTGCCATCCCTCTCTGTATCCTTTTTTTGCTTCGGTCTTTCGATGGCAAATGATACATAGCAACAATGAGAATCTAATCCTCTCTGTTTCTAGATGGACAACAACTATTGTTGGACTACCAATTGTAATGTACACATCGTACATTCTTTATGAGCGACGTGAGTTCCTTATGCTTAGGCAATCTCAACGTTCTTTTGATTGTACATATACTGACTTATCACACGTTAGTCTATGCTGGCAAGAGTCCCAAGCAGCTTGGAGATGTGCAGGCACGGAAGGACTAATTCACTTCTCTTTGTTTTTTGTTGTCCTGAAAGTGGAATTAAACCAAAATGGAGCCTGAAAGGCTGTATAACTGTATATAAGAATCCCTAGCAGAACCTGTCTCTTCTCATCTCTGTTTAAAGCAGTAGCAGTATCTTAAGGGAAGAAAATCACAAATCCGGTTTTAATGCATTTCATTGCATTGATTGTAGACTCCAACGCCGGAAGTCTCAGTATATATCCATGGCTATGGGTAGGCGAGAGCAACCTACCCAGCCCAAATAACATGAACAGAAGAAAGGTACAACATCCAGATGCGTCGTTCCCAAGTTTGGAAGTTTTGTTCTAAATCCTCCTCACATTGCCAGCCTGCTGGGGTAAAAAGCAAGAAGGAAAAAAGCATGTAAAATCCAAAGAAGGTACCTGGAAGAGATCATCTAAAAACCGAAGTGGGACAAGGGTAAGGCGGAGGGAAAGAGATCATATAGCTGTCATAGTATTGAACTACAGGCAACGATCAACTGGCAACACCTTGGGGAATGTGTTGATCGCCTGAGCCAGCCGACTGCGGCACGGATATCGAGTTACTGCCAGTGCTAGCGGGCTTCGAACTACGCTCACGCATGCGACGGCCCTCCATGAGACCACGCAAACCGCGCTTCTGGAGACCGATAACGCTACTTAGATCACCAGTCCAAAGCTCACGTTGGGGACGACGCAACTCGTCTGTGTCACGGCGGTGATGGGTAGACCGGGACTGTGAGCGGCTTTCATCGCCGCTGACCCATTCGGAGTCGGACTGGCTGAAACTAGCGCTGGACGCGGATGTTGCTGTGCTTGGATTACTAATGGAATCTTCGCGGTCGCGGCGGGCTCTGCGCTGGCGGGAATTCTGGGAGACACTGGTGTCGATGCGGAGAGATGGAATCCCTCGAGCGAAGTTGGCGAGATTGCCCCTGCTGCTCGCTGCTGATGCGGAGGTAGCACCGTGCTCTGTGTCGGACGAATCTGATGTGAGTGCACCGTGTTGGGAGTTGCTGTTCTCGCCAACTGTGGGCGCACTGCCGTTGTGGCCGATATAAGCTCCATTCAGAGCTTCGAGCGTGCCTCCTGGTCCGCCATTGAATCCAGTACCACGACCACCACCGGCGGCCATGGCAGCTGCGTTGAATACGGCTGCGGCGTTGCGCCCATCGAGAACTTGATGGAGTCTTTCGACGGTGGCTTCTAGTAGTCCGTCGATCTGGTACGGACGTGCAAGCTGTAAAAGCGAGCAGAGAATTTGTGGTGTGCAAAGCGAGGTGCCTGCGGATGGAAGGGCTGAGGTGTAGAGGTATTGAACCAGCACTTGAAGAGTCAAAATGGTATGGGGGAGGTAGAGCACACGCGGTCGGGAGGTTGGAGCGAGGCTGTGGGCAGATGGAACTTCGAGATTCTCAAGCAGAGACTTCGAAGGTACAGACTGATTGATAAGAGTCGTTGCGTCGGAGCCTATCGAGGGAGTGATGGTAATACTCGAGTTGCGGCTTGGGTGTATCTGGGCCGGACGAAGAGTTGCGATATCTGCAATACCTCCGTCCGACGACTCGCGGAGGAGTTGGATAAAGTAAGGACCCCAGCGCCGAGTTAAGACGCGGGAGTTGACGGAGATACGTTCTCCCCCGACAGCCTGCAACTCCATGTCGGCCATCTCTGGCAAAGATTGTGCGAGTTTGCCTAGCTCATCGGATGCGGCAGACAATGGCCGCCCACCTGATGTCAACTGTACTAGTTTCTTCTGCAATGATGCTGGAACGGAAGAGGAGCTGTAAGACTTGTATCCTGAGGTTGGAGAAGTGCGGCAAGAATTGTTGTAGAGTCCAAATGCCTCCAGTTCGACCAGGCAAACGTGCGAAAAGTTGATTCGTCGGTGGTTGTAATCATCGACAAGGCTTCGCTTCCTGTGTCCAAGAATCACAAAAGAATTACGCCGAGGCCAAAGCACTCCTCGGTTCCAACTACCCTGTCCAAATACCGATCCTCCGGCATCAATACGGCCCCAAGTCAATGTTTTTAGGTCAAGAGCCCACAGCGCATATTCTTGCTTTGATGAAGTCAGGTAGGTACCACTAACAACAAAATGGCCATTAATAATGCCACCGTTTGGGAAACGCAGTCCCGGAGGTGAGGCTTGGCTCTGCATAGGTCGTTCGACAAGGCGTCCGTCCGGCAGGCGCACCTGCAGCTCCAGCTTGACATCGAGGAAATTGTAGTTGGAGTATATCAGCATGGGGCAACCTGGCGATTCAGTGCTATCTTGAATCGGCTCATGCTGATCACGGTCTGGGGCTGAGGATCCAATTTCGGACACATCCATTCCCACCAGAGGAGCTACGACACTGCGATAAGCGCCGCAGCTCCTTCCCAGGGGGCTAGTGTTGGTCCACTTGAGGCTCCGCAGGTTGAAGACACTAATTTGTTCGATGTAATGATTGGAACTATCCTGGCCTCCGACCACCACCATCTCCGCACCTCCGAAGCCGTCAATATCCACGCCGAGTGTACCTTGATGACTGGAGGATTCGGGATTATTGTGAATGGCAGATAGTGGTGCACTGGCAGATGTGAAGCAAGCGCTCGACGGTAGGATCGTAGCGCAGTGTGCATAGCGCCCCTGAGGAGATTCATGAGCAGCAACACGCGTCCATGCCCTCGATGGTACATCGAAAATGTGAATATCCGACATAACCACGACTTCCGATTGCGACTGTGATTGCGGTTCCGCGGGGTTCTCGAGGTCCTTTGGCGCAGTTGGTGCGGGTGACATGCCTCCATAACAGACCAACTTGTTATCCCCCAAAGCACACACACTGTGGAAATACCGCGGCGGTGGAACATCTCCAGCGGGCTCGACCTTCGTCCAATGTCGCCGAATCAAATCCAGTTCGTAAAGGTCGGAGGTGAGTTGAGGGCGGCTGCGCGAGAGGATCCGGCCTCCGAACACGTATAGCTTATCGCCCAGTATGGTTGTAGTGGCACCGACGAGAGGACGGGGTTCCTTGCCGGTCGTTCGCCGCACGTTGCATACCAGACCAGATAGATTTATAGGCCCAGAGGTAGACTGCTGGTTCAGGGACGGTGAGGCTCCCGGCGCAGAATCCTCTCGCCCTGAGTCCATATACCCCAGGCTCGACTGACTTCGCGACATCATGGTGGGCGAATTTCCGGTCCGCTTTCAACGGAGACAATCGTGTGGGTAGCCGTTGAGCCCCTGTTTCAGTTCACCCAATATCACTCGCATGCGATGAGGCGTTTTTCGCTCGAGTGCGGTATTCTCGGAGAATATTCCCGGGGCGGATTGTGTGTCTGGTACGGCTCGAAATGGTGGGTTGTGGGGGGGGGGTCGGAAAAAGGGGGTGGTTCCCCGCGACGCCGCAACTTTGGCGGCAGGCTTCACAATGGGGAGATGAATGAAAAACTAGACAATGCAGACTACTGCCGATCGTATGGATGAGCGTACAGTTCTGGCCGAAGTATCAGCCGTCAAGTTTGGAAATGGCACAAAAAGTGTTTACCGCTTTTCTTCACATGCCCCTCCACCCCAGAACCTTCAAGATATCAGGTTGGAATTTTATATCTTCGATTTGAATGGGAAAATCCTTGGACTTATATAGAAATGCACTTCACCCCGAACCTCTTCCTAGTATCTTCGGTGCTAACCTAGTCAACAACATAGAACTACCACAACTTATTCGACTCGTGAACGATAAGATCGAACGTCTAAAAAGCAACCAAGAAGTATATGTAAACAATATGCTTTAAACGAGACTCCTATAAGATGTTGAGAAGCAGATGGTTGGGAACTGCCCAAACAGCCCGGGATTCATTCTCGCTGGTCCGAATATGCAGGTTATCAGTTCATTCACTTGATTAGGTATTTGCAGCTGTTCCTGGGGAGTCCTTTCGCTATCTTGTTCTACCACCTGTGGAAAGTCCAGCAGACCGGTCTGTGTTTGGTGCAGGACGAGTTTTCGTCTGCCATTCTGAAGGGTCTAGTGAGAGACCACATATAGACGGAGTAGATACGTGACCAAAATAACCAGGAGTTGGGGCATACCAAGGGGGGGTTTCACGAGCGTTTCATGAGCGGAGGTAATAATTATGAGACTAAAGGAAGCCTTCCGCTGTCATCTATGTCGATCTCGGTGAATATTTGCTGGCAGGTCTTTCAAGATCTTTCAAGAATCATCTAGTGCAGCGCAACGATCATAAACACGCATTATACATTCATTGAATTGAACCATATTCGCCAGAACTAAACCCAGATGGGCTAAGTACATGGTGGCCTCCCTCTTTCAATATATCGATGCTCTTTGCCTCCTGGACTACCAGCTGTGGGGCAATTTGACGCAAAATGTCTTTGGTAAACGCTGCGGAAGTCATTGCAGCATACCCCTGCCAGTCCCTGTTCTTATGCGAGTCTGCATAGTCACAAATGCCTCGGATCACAAGGCAGGGAAAGTGATCCATCATCCCAGCTGCGTTCATTTCAATACACAGAATATCCTTTTGCGCAGCCTCATCTCGCATTGAAGCGTCCTTCACAATCTGATTAGCCGAGGCGATTAGGCCGTAATGAATTGCTGGATTGTCATCGTATTCCGTGCGTGGAGACCGCGAAACCAGGCCAGATGGATCATCGCCACATAATACAGCACAAGATGATTCACTATCCATCAAATGGGAAATGTGACTTCGATATAGCCGATCACTTGCCGGATCTGGACGCTGATACCCCTTGGTCGAGTCGATATAACCACGTTATGGTTCCCAATTCGACCCAAGGTATAGTCGTTTGTGTCCTGGGGAGACCGATATACGGGGACGAAATGGCTTTCGTCGAGGAACTCTCGGGCCGCAACATATTCAGCGGTGATGGCGCAAATCCAACCTACAGTGTAGTTCTCCGGGTTAGACATCGTTGAATGAGGAGCTAGTCTTCTATCCCCTTCAATATTTAGTAGTCGAGATACTAGATCAGCATTGATAGCTCTCTATTGAAACTTTTCAGGCGTAAGAGCCAGTCGCTAGCACATTTCTCACTTTTAGTGCGTTTTTTCTTGGGCTTTAGCACTTTGCGTTCCTTTGGACTCTCCGGTACTATAGTAGGTTCCTGAATTGCCGTGATTTTGGAAGGCATATTCAGCGGCGCGATTTTGGTAAAATCATCCATCCACTTCGTGCCCTGTAGCAGATCCTCAAGCGGAAACACAACTTTGTCGTACAAAATGTTTCTCCGTTGCTTGAGGGCCTCCTTCCATTCGCGGGTGGATGATTCTTTGATGTAAGGTGCCTGATTGAAGGTGTCAGGCTCTAGACAGTGACGAACTATCTTGCCAGTGGCTCAGCTGTGACTTGTTCCAGAATGGCGTAGACGAGAAGAGCATGTCGAATTGCACCAAGCTGTTGCTGCTTGCTTGTTGAGTGGGTGGCTGTAGCAAGAGGCACACCAGATGTTCTCTCTGCATTTTTCCCATCATATCATTGCTCTGGCAGGTGCAGCACATTTGCTCGCGAAGGGCCCAATGAACCAACTCGTTGGCATGCCTTGAACGCTCTGGTTGAGTGATTCTTTTTGTGGACGTGGTGTCATCACTCGAATTTTGTATAGAAGTCTTGCGGCTGCGCTTGGTGAATCTTTAGATATGGGCAATGACCTCCTCGGCATCGCGAGAACGTGTCGTAAGCTGTCCAAGTCCTCGTCGGATTCTAGCCCGAGCCCTTTCGTAAGATACCACGCCTGGCAATGACTCTCCTATCGCTTCAAGGAGTGGGTAGCCATTCTTTGGTACTTGGTGTGGCCACTAGATCCAACCCGTCAATTCTTATGCATGTAAGGTATAACTTTCTGTTTTACTCACGCAGCATATAGCTTCCACATCTCGCAATAGCTTGGATATTCGAAATCGCAGTCGTTTCTCTTGGTCCAGGCTGGCCGTGTCTATGTAGTTGGCAACTAGATACAATTCAGCCCCAAGACGGCCACATACTGGACGCTTGTGCTCAACACCCAGCAAAGATGCAATTTTAGCGACTTGGGCTATGGCGGCATGTGCAAAATCTATCGGTTCCTCTGTCGCCATTCCGAGTACAACACGAGCCAGCCCATGTGATGATGCGGTTTGTTGAGCAAAACTGAGGCTGACGAGCGATGCGGGGTAGGTTCAATTGGAAGCCGCCCAACCTGATCACTGCAGAACTGGGTGGGTGGCCAGGCCAGTTTAGCAGGTTTCGGAGCTCGTTCCTGATGATTCTGATGATGAGATCTAGTCAGACTTTTCCCGTGACTGCACAAGCCCTCGACGATATCAATAATTAAAGGCAGTTTTGTTCGTCGCCTCAGCGGCCAGTCATTCGCTCGCTCTAAGCGCCCACGTGAGAGTAGCGTATATACTATGTGCTCCGGGGAGCTTTGTAGGGTAGCCGTTTACATACTCTCAGAGCCTAGGTCCCCTCACCTCCGGGTTGATGTGGTATGCTCACGTCAACTTTGTTTTCTCCACTTGTTCTGCTTGGCCATTAATATCTTGACTGTGACTTTTACTCTGACTTGCTGTTCTTGGTTTGCTTCGCGATGAATCCTTTGACCTCAACATCACCAACACCATTGGCCGTACCCGGATCTACTTAACTATATGAATGATACATCACAGAGAAGCCGCAAGTCTTCCACGACCTTTCGAATATGAACAGCAAGGACATTGCCTTCACCATCCGCTCCGTGTTCATCATCGACCCTGCCAAGAAGATCCGCCTGGTTATGGCCTACCTCTCCTCCACTGGCCGTAACACAGCAGAGGTTCTCCGGTTTATAGACCCAGTCTCTCTAGAATAGTAATAAGAGATATGTAATCTTCCCGATTAGTTCGCTTGTACGATCCCATATTTTATTTTCTCTCTGCCTCTTCTGCTTCTGCTCCCTCTGTCGACGTCGTTGCCCCTAAGGTAATATATTGATTTCGATAAGAACTATGTGTCTAGGAACCTCATGAATTGACTGGATTTCGGTTGATTTGATTCAATTGGTACCTTATTTTACATATTGGCTCAAACGAATTATTACAAATCGCCCAAACGTGTGACCATGCAATGTCATATCATATACTACGCACGCTCTATTGCATAGTGCCATTTCAAGGAAGTTCTGAGATACAGGTCTAGAACTACTGGGATAGACAGTCCGCAAACATCTCAATGTAATAGAAAGAGGAAAGGGACTATCTGAGGAACTACGACAGGATGATCTGGGAGCAAACAGGTAGAGGTCACACGACCTCTCAATAAGTTCCTACAAAAGCGCATAAGTAAAAGTATGGCGTGAGTAGGTTTCATTAATTTCGGGAGGAAATTGTGTCCCAAGTATTGTAGAACCCGTTTTATCTTTCTAGCATCACATCATAAGACCCCGTTTACTCGTCCTTAAGGGTGATGAAACGAAGGTAACTATAACATGTCAGTATCCTCTGTTTTGAATTGGCAGTTGGACATGGAACTTACGGCTTCACTTCACGGATCTCGCCGAACTTCTTCTTGGCATCCTCGGTGCTAACTGTTGGTGGCACAATAACGTCGTCTCCGGCCTTTGATCGAGTTAGTAAGATACTTCGCATAGTTTCAAGGCTTGGGTTGCAGAGGACAGGGGGATCATACCAGCCAATTGATCGGGGTGGTTACACCCCTCTTATCAGCTGTCTGGAGAGAGTCAACAACCCGGAGAACCTCTGCTGTGTTACGTCCAGTAGAGGCAGGGTAGGCCATGATCAGGCGGATCTTCTTGGCAGGGTCGATGATGAACACGGAGCGGATGGTGAAGGCGATGCCCTTGCTGTCCACATTTTCAAGATCTTGAGCATCGATCATGTCGTAGAGGAAGGCGACTTTGCGCTCAGCATCTGCGATGATTGGGAACTTGACTTGGGTCGAGGCGACTTCGTTGATGTCCTTGATCCACTCCTCGTGGGAATCAAGTGCGTTGGCACTCTGGAAAGACGGGCGAGTTAGCTAATGCTTGAGTTATCCATCTTAGAGACTCACCAGTCCAATCAACTTGACGCCACGCTGGGTGAACTCGGGCTCAAGCTTGGAGAAGGCGCCGAGCTCAGTGGTACAGCTATTGAGTGTCAGCAAAACGCTTCGCGGAGTTAAAATGGGGCTGGACACAACTGACACAGGTGTGAAATCCGCAGGGTGTGAGAACAGAATAGCCCACTTGTCGCCAATCCACTCGTGGAAGTCGATCTCGCCCTGCGTGGTCAGAGCCTTGAAGTTGGGGGCGGTAGAGCCCAGACGGAGGCTAACAGACAGTTAGCATTGTGTAGATACCTCAAAAAGAGACCTGATGAGCTTACGGAGCAGCGCGGTCAGCCATTGTGATTAGGTAGGTAGGTAGAAAGGTATATTGTAGATAAAAAGGAGAGAGGGAAAGAAGAACAAGTCGGCGGGATTCAAGGTTATAAGATGATGATTGGAACCGTGGAACCCCCTCCGGCTTTCGCATAGATACATCTCATCATCCATGGATTTGACCCCACTTAACCTCATCCGGCAGGAATGCCCCACCTAGAATGAATTATTGATGGCGTGATCATTGTTTCCGCCCGGCAGAACGTCCATGATTGGTGAATATACAGCAACACATAACGTGGGCTGTTTAGCGTGTGTGATGCAATATCAACTGTGGATGAGCACTTCGGGTTCCTTAGGTTTCTTTTACCCCTCAATTTTACCCCTCAACCTTATGTTAGAATGAACTACGATCCTGTACCTGTGTTGTTTTTATATTAATATGCCTATAAATGGCTCTATACTCTATATTGTAGTTGGTGGGTGGTGGGTGGTGAGTTTTGCCCAAAAGTTACATATGCATAGTATATGGTACTCTGGTATCTTAGCTGTGTCTAGCGATTTTCCCTGCTAGCCAGTGACCTAAAACACAAAATGCGAACTATATACTTGAGCGGGAAATGATAAATCACGCAATTCTTACAAGACGACTTTGCCATACTTTACCATGAGCGGCTCTACCAGCAGCATTGGATGTTTGTATTTCTTCTGCTCCTTCAGCTAGGATACAGCTTAGCCTGTTACCTTTTCTAGTCGCATTGTAATAGATCCGTTCTTATTGTTCGGAAAAGACACAGAAAGGGGCGTATCCATAAATATATACGTGGCTGTCTCCTACATAGTCTCGAAATATAGATAGAAAAGGTTAACAATCAGGAACGACGCAATGATATCTGCAAGCTACCTATCAAGGAGTGATTCTTGACAGGAGACCTACACAAAGTTTCTAAGTGCTATTGTATTAAAATTTATCAAATCGGTAGTATTGATTGTAGTGTCAAAGCTACATATGTACATTTGGGGACCTTCATAACGAGTCACTTTCAAGCTCATTCGGCCGACATGACACTCTCTGATCAGCACCAATGAAACCCCAAAGTGATGGTGCAATATCACCTTTAGATGACAAATAGTCTATAAACTGACATCCAAACTCACTATGAAGTAACTATACCTTGTACATCAAGTCAGGATTGGCCTAGTATGCAGATCTGTCTGCTCCCTCTAGGCAGATTCTCCGAAATACATATTCCAACACTCTAGATAATGCGAATTCAATGAGAATTTGACCCACATACATATGTAGTGGGGCTAATTGCATGTACTACACACATCATCTGAAAGTACGTCCGTATTCTGTACAGCTGCCTCCAAGCGGAATGTTACCTTAGCAGTATAAAATTAGTAAAGGCTACATTAAGGCTACGACACTGTACATTATTCCAAGGAGTACCTTCGTTGGAAAAGACTTGACTCAAAGCGACGGACTCAGCCGCTGGGTAACTAGCCGGTGCAACCTCATGTATGCGAATGGACCTATGATGAGCTTAATTAACACTATTTTGATTACTGAGACATTTCGAGTTAACCCTGGCCAATAAATCTCTATATTTTATCCACTTATATTATATCTCTTAGTATGATCTAAGACGTTTGATTGACTCTGTTAAATAAAAATAGATCTGGACTTCTAGCTGCTATCAGTGAGATTGAGACTACTTCGAGGGAGAATACTCGCAGTGAGTCACCTACTCCAGATTAATATCCCCTTCGCAATCATAATATACACAGCACATTCTCCTTTTGAAGAATTTGACATAATTTACAACATCTACATATCTTTCTCAGAACAAGATCAGTCTCCTTATTTTCACATTGATTTTGTCAAAGTGAGAACATTCCAGGTTGACCAGGAGGTTCAGCTTTGGAAGCCGCACAAAACAGACAGTGCTAAGGGGTTTGTAACTCTAGTGGAAATACCTGGGTATATAATTATGCCTTAGATATTGATAAACATTACTGCTGGGAGCAAGTGAAAGGATCTTAAGTGGATAGTAATGTCCTAATAATAACTCCCAATGTTATTTACCTGGGGAGCTGGTTGTAGTGCCGATCATGATCGACCCCATCACGTGCGACCCCAGATCCACATCCGCGTCAAGCTGCCAAACAATCCAGGAAGCTCCTGCTCAGCTTGATTTGATAACTTCAACAGTTCCAGGGAGCACAACCACATTGATTGTACAGTTTCCATTTATTCTCCCTATCTTTTCTGCCTTTTACTCCTTTTCTACATATTTTTGCCGCCTTTCACTGTCACTTAACCTGTGCACAACAATTGAACAGTCATGCCACCCAAGCGCAAGTCTGAACGCGCTGTGAGCGCAAATGAGTCTGTCGCGACGCCTTCCAAACGGCTTCGAAATTCCGTAGATGCAACCCCAGCTTCTGCACCATCTGCCTCGGTGGTAAGTGCACTATGCAGGGGCTGATCGTCGCGTCCCGTGGCTTCTCCACTTCAATTGTTGACACAGGGCTGACATCATTGGAACAGGTTGATGCTACACCCCAGACAGGTGCAAAGAGAGGCCGTGGCCGTCCACGCAAATATCCCGAGACCTCGACTCCCAAGCCTGCTTCTGACGCCCCTAAGCGTGGTCGTGGTCGCCCACGGAAGATTGTTTCCGAGTCAGAACCTGCGGTTGTAACCCCATCAGGCCCCAAGAGAGGCCGTGGGCGTCCCCGCAAGGACTTAGGTATGGGGAATATATTGACATGTTGTGGGTGGTATATACTGACTCTTGTACCGTGTTATCAGGCGATGTGAAGCCTGTCACCCCGAAAATTAAGAAGAAGGATGGCCGTGGAAGACCCCGCAAGAACCCTCTGCCAAATGGAGAAGCCAAAATTACTGAGCCGAAGATCGCACCTGTGGTCGACATCATCCCTGAAACTGGCCGCTCGTTCTGGTTGATGAAGGCCGAGCCTGAATCTCGCCTAGAGAAGGGCAAGGACGTGAAGTTCTCTATTGATGACCTGGCTGCTGCAGATGCACCAGAGCCTTGGGATGGTATGTCCAATGTATCTTGAATACTGCGTACAGTATCCGATTGCTAACAATTGAACAGGTGTGCGTAACCATGTTGGTATGTTGTCCTGTCGAAAATCATAGAAGCTTTGACCATGAGACTTATACTCACAATGAACTAGCCAAAAACCTCATGCGCGATATGAAGAAGGGAGATTTTGCATTCTTTTACCACTCAAACTGCAAAGTCCCTGGGGTTGTGGGAGTGATGGAGATTGTCCAGGAGCATTCCACTGATGGTTCGTCATGCGTCGCTCAAAACTAAACTGCCTGATCATATTGCTAATCCACATCTCATAACAGAGTCCGCTTTCGATCCAGAGCACCCCTACTACGACCCGAAGTCCAAGCGAGATGATCCAAAATGGGTTGTCGTCCACGTTGAATATCGCCGCAAACTTGAG